ACCAATTCCCAACTCGGAGAGCCTCCCCAGGAGGATACCGTGGTCGACGGTATCAAAGGCCGCCAAGATGTCGAGGAGGACCAACAGAAACATTTTACCCCTGTCAGCCTCCCTCAACAGGTCATCATACAGGGCGACCAATGCCGTCTCTGTACCGTGGCGCAGCCTGAAGCCCGACTGAAACGGATCCAAGGCATCTGTTTCATCCAAGTGAGCCTGAAGCTAATCAGTCACCACCCTCTCAACCACTTTGCTCATGAAAGAAACATTGGCCTATAATTGCCAATTTCGTCCACCGCCATATTAAGTTTCTTTCTTATGGGCCTAATGAGTGTCTCCTTGAGGGCAGATGGAAATGCCCTCCAGAAAAGATCCATTAATTATTGCTGTGGCCCATTCAGTTGTTATCGGCCTGGCTGCTTTGATCAGCCAGGCCGGGCAAGGGTCAAGGGAGGAGGTGGTGGTCCAGCAGCGATCAAGCACCTTGTCCACAGTGTTAGGCGTCACAGGCTGAAAAGAATCGAAAGTTACTGGGCAAGGCGGAGCGCTGGACATCTCTGCTTGACTCACTGTATTTTAAAAAGGAGAGGCTATGCTATATATGGGGTTTCTTTATCCATACTTTCTGGCATCCACAGGGGGGGGGCTTGGGATCAACCCCCTGCAGATACTGCAGGCATATTATTATTTTCTAATATTATTAAGTATTTTAATACTTTAGCTAAAGTCTTATTCCATTCTGAAGCACCATACAGTATTAAGTTTTGTTAGAGCACTTAGTTATATTTTCCATTTTCTTCACTAAGCTCTCGTGGTTATATTTCTAAAACATTGTAGTATTATGTTTTGTTGCTTCAAATTTTAGGAAATCCAATAGATAGAAAACAATTGTATAATTTATCTCTGCTTTCATGTACCTGTTCAATAAAACGAAGAAAAGTAGAGATTGTCTTGGACATTCAGTTTATCTGTTTCGGGGCTCGGTTACACTCCTGAAATAAATCAGGAGTTGGATTGGATTTTTTGAAGTTGGTTTAAAATCACATGACTTTTGGGTCAGTGTGTCTGTCCTCTTGGGACAACTTTTAATCCAGTATTAAGCTGCTGAATGCTGGTGAGGGAGGAAAAGGGAGGGAGGGCATGGAAGCGGCAGGGGTGTCACTCTTGGTGTCCTCCTCCTCCCTTTCTTTCCTTTCTCACTTTTGGAATGTAGGTTTCGCCTTGATCAAGGCATAGCAACAGCCACCCCCTTTTCCTCTTCCTTTCCTTAGTGAGAAGCCAGCTGCTCCATGTACAGTATTCCACATCCCTGGAGGAAGAGTGGAAGATCAATCAGGCCCAAAGGGGTTAAAGTGATTTTTCTAGGTCCCTCATCATGTTTCAATATTTGTCCTATTTTTTTTTCCAAAGTGGAAAAGTGCTAGATCTGTGTTACAGCTGGTGGCGGTGGCGGGGGGGGGGGACCAGATTGAACTGTGCAAGGTTACCCTGCAGCCGGAAACCATGATTCTGATATCCAATACTTGACAAACCCCACAGACACAATTCACTCCAACACAGGTGAGCACACATGCAAGAACAATTCAAAATAAATTATGTCTATAATCAAGTTAAAAATCATAAGCCCCTTGCAGGTGTTTCAAAAACATACTTTCAAATAAAAAACCAGAGGCTTCCCAGCCAAAAAAAACCCCCCATGCTTAATTATATATTAGATACACTCGTGTTTTTAAATCAATTTCAAGCATGTTAAATCTGGTGGTAATGATAAGTAATTAAGCCTTTGCTTGAGGCAAAGAAAAGGCTGGAAAATCTTCCTTTGGTTCATATTGGACTTAACCCTTTTAGGATAGATGCCAGCTGTGATTAATTTTGATTTTTCTTCAGAGGTTTATAAAGTTCTGTAGGACTCTTGGAAAACTGTTCAGGTATCAGATTTTTTGACCTGACAGACTGAGTCTACAAAAGAAGCCAAAAATTGGTGTCTAATGGCATACACAGTAGAAAGTAATAATATTCTAAACTACAAGAAATGTACCAACTATACATGAATAATGGTCTTCTTTCATTTTTAGAGTAAATAAAACTAATTAAAAAACCAAGCTAGTGTGATTTTTCACAAAACTGAAACCTCAGAATAAATATCTAGCTGCAGTGGGAGGAGTAGATCCTATTCTGTTGCAACGGAACTATTTTACAGTGCAGTCCCTGAATGCAAAGTATATCAGAATCAAAGAAAAGTGAAGTTGGAAGGGGCCTACAAGGCCATCAAGTCCAACCCCCTGCTCAATGCAGGAATACAATCAAAGCATATCTGCCGGTTAAATCTGCTGGTGAGGCCAGCTCATTTCTCCCAGTTACAAAATTTGCTGAATCTCAATATTACTTGATTTGCTTGAATTTGAAAAGGGGGTATTAGGAACAACTCTAAGGCTGACTTGTGCATTATATTTAATATGTGTTTAAATAAACTCTGGTGTATAACCATCTGCTTTCAAATAGAGAACACCTTCAAATGAATATCCCGTGACAACCCCTTGAATACAAGATTGCCCACTGTAAACAAAGATGTTGTCATTCTAGTTTACATGTGTTCATTTCGTCCCCCTCAAAAAATTACTGTAAGTCAGGCAGAAACTATGGGGTTCATTCAGATGTTTGCCTTCTGATCAGAGCAAGTTGTTGAGGAAATATCAGGCATAATAGTTTTGGATGCAATTCATCCTTCACCTCACGAGGAACTGGACATAATATCATGAAGTACTTTCCACCTCAAAATAAACAAGGTAGTTAGGGATAAATGCAAAAAAAGTGTCATTTTTCTCCTTCCCTCTGAGCCATATCAGATTGGCTTTATGCAGAAAGAAACAAAAATGGGTTTTTAGGACACCAATCTCTCCTTGTCTGTTCAAATCTAATCTATGGAATCAACTGAGGTTAATCAACATAGCTACTGTATGCACTGCCTGGCATAGAGCAAACACAATGAAGTACATTTTGCGAAGAGATAAACTACCCCACACTCTGCAACATTCCTTGGTAGTACAGCCTGCCCTGGGTGAGACTGTTTTGTCTCTGAACGAGAGAGTCTGGAGTGCCTTGGGATGTATTATTTATCACACTTGAAGGGCAATTTGCTAGCGCATCTCCAGGCAAGAATTGGAGGTTGTTCATGACTTTGTGTACCTCGGCTCAACGATCTCTGACACTCTGTCCCTAGATGTTGAGCTGGATAAACGCACTGGCAAAGCAGTTACCATGTTCTCTAGACTCACAAAGAGAGTATGGCTCAATAAGAAGTTGATGCATACCAAGATCCAGGTCTATAGAGCCTGTGTCCTGAGCACACTCCTGTACTGCAGTGAGTCCTGGAGTCTTTGCGCACGGCAGGAGAGGAAGGTGAACACGTTCCATATGCATTGTCTCCAACGCATTTTTGGTATCACCTGGTAGGACAAAGTTCCCAATAGAGTAGTCCTACAACGAGCTGGAATTTTTAGCATGTATACATTACTGAAACAGCAACATCTACGTTGGCTTGGGCATGTTGTGAGAATGGCTGAGGGTCGGATTCCAAAAAATCTCCTGTATGGAGAATTAGTGCAGGGAAACTGCCCCACAGGGAGACCACAGCTGTGATACAAGGATATCTACAAGCGGGATCTGAAGGCCTTAGGAATGGACCTCAACAGATGGGAAACCCTGACATCTGAGCATTCAAGACCCTTGCCCAGCAGGCCGAGGAAAAGAGGCAGTCTCGGAAGCAGCAAAATCATGGAGCTGGACAGGAGACAGATTGTATTTGTCCTCATTGTGCCAGGGATTGTCACTCTTGAATTGGCCTTCTCAGCCACACTAGATTGTGTGTCCTCCATAAAGAGCACATTACCATAGTCTCTGGAGACTGAAGGATGCCTAAGATAGGATGTATACAGAAATGGACAAAAAGGGGCCTCTGCAGCCACAGAT